CATAAAACTCTCTCTTATACATGAGTTGCTATGAATTTGTTTCTACAAAGTACCTAGACTATTACAGCTAGAAAGGCCATATTGAACCTTCACGAGGAAATGTCGCAGGCTTAAACCAAAAGTGGCTTCCAAATGCTCATATTGAGTGCATCCGTTAGACTGGCATTGGGGTGGGACAGGTGTGTGGTGGAGGTTGTCATTGAATGGGACAGATGTGTCTTGGGTGGCTATCTGGCATGGTTTGGGTCACCTTGATGGCTGTTAGGTATTTTCCAGGTAGGTTTTTTTTAAATTTAATATAAGAAAAGGCATATTGAATCCTCCCATCTATTTGCCAAGCTCTGGGCTAGACATTTGTTTCATGGACGTGAATTCAAGCTCTTCCCCTCGGGTGGCTTACAGTGCAGGTAGGAAGAGCCCAGTAGGCACGTCTGTTCAAATGGCCGTGCATTGTGAGGTGCAGCGTTCAAGACGTGTGCTCAGAACTGGGCACTGTGAGAGGACTGAAGGACTCTGCTCAGCACGAGAGGAAGCATTGAGCGGGTTCTTGGTGAAGGAGCAGGAGTTGGCCAAGGGGCTAGGGGAGGAGAGAGACGCCGGAGAGGCAAAAGAGGGACATCAGACAGTCCTGGAGGCCGTGAGAGCCGGTGAAGAGTTGGATGCATAGCGTAGCTGGCCTAGAGTTGGATATCACAACGCCCAGTACTTTGGAGAACATTCATGGCTAAGGTTTTGTAAATTCCATCATCCTCCCAAATGTTGGTTATCTGTGGTTTTGAGGTAGCTGGTTTGTACACGTGCATGCGAAGCTTTTTAACCAGTAACTGCCTTTTCACCATGGTGTCTCCTCAAGTAAAAGAACCAAACACCTGCCACCCTGCCTCTCCCACAGGTCATGGCGAGTGCAGGGAGGGGACCGGCTTGTGCACCCGTCTCTCCAGCCAGCCCAGGGCTGAGAAGCAGGCCCAGAAAAGCATGGCCCCTTCTAGTGCCCTAGACCGCTGGCCCACGCATGACCTCTGCATTTGCTAAGATCTGCACACATGAGCAAGGACAAGTAAAAGCATGAATTATACTTTCACTTCAGTAAAGGCTTGGTTTAAAGGTTAAGAAAAGAGGGTTTGCACAGGGTCACTTGTGAGGCAAGCTTCCCTTAGTCGATGGTGCTGCTGCAACGTTGTTTCCTGAACAACCGCAAGAAGGAAGCTTCCGAGAAGGGGGCCCTACTAGAGCTCAGGGCTAATGGTGATTTTCTTATGGCGCGGAATCAGAATTGTCTGCCTCCTAGGACATTCTTTACTGATGATGTTTTGCTATACTTAAAAAAAAATTATTTTAATGATTTCCTCCAAAGCCCGTATTCCCAAGACCCTTAATGCAGTGGTCCTACCGTCTGTGAAGACCACAGAACCTAGTTGCCTAGAAGTGCGTGAGTCCCCGCCCCAAGCGGCACCCAGGGAGGGGAAAGAGCACACCACTCCTAGGGCTGGTCACCCGAAGTGCACGGCCAGCAATGGCTTCGCCGACCTACCCTGTGTTCGGCTCACCAGGCACAGAAACATCTGTGCAGTGC